CTTTATTGTTCATGTTCAACAGTCTCAATGAATTATTCAACTTTTATTATGATTGAACCTTACTTTCATCAAATATGTTCAAGTGACTTAATATCAGATGCATGGATTAATTATATCAAGGGTGATAACATACTGAACGATTATTTTCCAATATTTGACTATCGAAATTCTGGTGTATTCCACTTTCAGTTATTGTCATTGTTATGTCAACATTCTCAACAAACAGTTAATATTAGTATCAAAACATTTCTTCAAACACAATTTCTTTCTTCACAAGTTATTTCTCAAAACCGATTTGAAACTAAAGTTAATTCATCTATTAATGATTGGAAATCTGAAACTATCGATCAATTTTTACAAACAATTAAAATATTTCAAGCTGTATCACATGGAAATCAACTTATGAGTCAGCAGTTTCATTATTATATATACTCGAATGATACAAAAATGAATCTTGAAGTAAAAAAATATTTCAATTGTTCATGTATTCTATCTTCATCATGCCTGATCTCTATCGGTCTGTACGAAGGTGATCTATCTTGGGAGTTTTACATGACACTTTTCATAGTCCCAAATTTTTTTCTGGGTTGTTCTCAAATCGAAGGATTAATGAAATCAACTTTAGAATGTTTTTATCATCTATCATGTATGATTAAATTAGATCGATATTTTGATTTTCCTCTTGGATCATCTTTTAATTTTTCAAATTTAAATCAAAATCTTAATCCACCGAATGAAATAATAGAATCGATTATCAATAGACTTATGATTGATTCTTGGACATCGAATATTTCATTTTCTTCATATTATAATACATGTTCTCCATCATCATGTACATATCAATATATTAGTCGAAATGATTTATTCTTTGTTATAACAACAATTCTTGGTATTTGTGGTGGTTTATCTCTTGGATTAAAACTACTTACTTTAATTATTCTTCGATTTATTGAGAATATAATTAATAATAATTGTTTTAATGGATTTATAACAATGATAAAAAACTTATTTGTTTGTAATACTGAACAACGTCTTATTAATCGACTTCATTTCATTTTACTTTTATTAATATTATATTTAATATTTATATTTTCTGCTTTTAAACCAAAATTAGTTACTATCCAAATAATAAAACCATCACTTTCAAATTATAAAGATTTATTAAAAGATCATTCCAATTCTCTTCAATGTTCTTGTTCACAAATATCTATTCCATATGAAACA